ATCTTCTTTCCTCCCATCAGTCCGTCCAAAACTGTAACTTCCCTCCTCTGCTTCCACCTTCCTTATGACCTCAATTCTGTTAAAACAAGGGTCCCTTCCTGCCACGACTATCCTAAGTTGATAAACCTCCCCTACATAGAAGAGATCAAGCAAAGGAGGAATCTTCATTGCATTCTCCATATGAACCAGAATTCTGGCATACTACAACTGGTCCTAAAGCCGATATCTAAATCAAATCTTCTAAATCTATCGTATCGCTACGAATGTCTCTGTTCTCCAGGCATGAAGTAGAATCCCATATACATCAATCCAACAAGGTCAGCCTCTTCTGTGAGATTTCCATCCGTTGGAAGCCACTTATCCAATCTTAACTCTGGGAACCTGTTAACTCCAGCCTTCTCTCACTCCAGCATTCTCCATATCAACCTTTCTCCTGAAACTAAAAAGAGATAAGCAAGTGCCTAATCTCTGAACAACTTCAAATCCTCTTTCGCACCATTCCACCATCGCCCAACTCTCCATATCTCTGACATCAGGATCTGAGTCAAATAATCTTCTCACCAAACACCATTGCAAGAAATCCAATCTCTCCTTAAGATTCTTGGCGTTTCTCACTGACACTCCTTTGCTCACTAGCATCTTCTTCTTTGGAACCTAGATCACCGTTTGCTCATCGCTCATCTACCTTGCAGAACTTGGACCCATAGCTACTATACACACAACCCCTATAATTACTCTGTCACTCTAATAACTCCTACATTTAAGGTAACTTGCCCTAAATAACTCCTAATCCCCTATAATTACTACCTCTCTCTTAATAACTCCTTTTCTCTCTTAATTAATTACTACATTTAAGACAATATTCGAATTCAAATTTTAATTTGACTCGCCATTAAAGCAATATTTAAATTTGAAGTTGATTTGCCATTAAACCCACCTATTTAAAACTACAAATAGGAGATAAGGAGAATTGAACCCTGGTTTTGGAAAGGGGGTTTGTTTGGAATTGGGCCTACGAAGGACGTGAAAAAATCGAATAAAACCTTGCGGAAGAATTAAAGAGGTTCGTCTATAATATCTCAGAGATTGAAGAGTTTGTTCATTTCAGTTTTTTTAGGGTTTGGTCGTGTAATTTTCAGTTTAGTGGCGGATAGTTGCTGCTTTATGTATCATATTTTGTTTAAAGGGGTTGGGGTTGGTTGTTGGAGGTGAAAATTGCTTCTTTTTCTCTTGGGTGACTGCTGGTCACCTTCCTTTGTGTTCTCTTTTTCTTTCTCTAATAAAATCTTTTCTCTTATTATCAAAAAAAGTGTGTGTAAAGCAATGTTTTAAAAGCACAAGGGGGCACTTTACACCCAAGGCACAAGAAGGTCAGTGTTTTAAAAGCGCAAGGTCCATTTTACGCCTGAGGGGCGAGGTGCATAGCTTTTTGAAGCAAGGCGCAAAAATGCTAAAAAAAATCAAAAATAATGCCAAAATAATTCAAAAAAATGCCAAAAGAATCTTAAAAAATGCAAAATATCAAAAATAGTAAACACTATTAGTCTATTAATTAAAAACATTAACTTAAATTTTAAAATAAATATTTTAAAAAACCCGTTATATCAAATTAAAGGGAATATTCCACTTTAGTACCCTGAACTTTGGGGGTAGTATCAAGTTAGTACCCAAACTTGCAAACATGTCACTGCAGTACCTAAACTTTCAAAAAGTGTCAGGTTGGTCCATGTCATTAACTGACCGTCGATTATCTGTTGAAAATGTCAAAACTACCCTTCAAAAGAAGACACTGTTCATTGTCTTCTACCTTGAGACTTAACTGGGTACCTTCAAAGAAAAAGAGAGAAAAAACTTGAAATATGACTTCATTAGTCTAGAATCTCAAACACCACAACCGGTTCAGTCTCAAGGTAGAAGACAATGAACAGTGTCTTCTTTTGAAGGGTAGTTTTGACATTTTCAACAGATGACAGTTGGTTAACGGCAGGGACCAACTTGACACTTTTTGAAAGTTTAGGTACTGCAGTGACACGTTTGAAAGTTTGCATACTAACTTGACACTACCCCCAAAGTTCTAGGTACTAAAGTGGAATTTTCCCCAAATTAAAATACATAAACATAACGTGTAAAACATATTTAAAATGAAAATTTAAAATTAAAATCCAAGCATAACATATAAAACATATTCAAGCATGTAAACTCTTAATCTCTTCATTTTTTTCCCAATTGCATTACTTCAAATAGCTACTGTGATTTTAAACATTAATCTGTTTTTTATAGGGATTAAGAATTTAATACTTGATATGGACTTGTTTGTTTGGGCTTGCCTCAAGGGGCTTGCCTCAAGGGGCTTGGTCAGGCCCCCCAGACCCCCCCAGCCCAGCTGCAAAGCATAAAAAAAAAGGAAAAGTGCACAAATTTTCAAAAGGCATTTGCCTAGGCTGATGCACAAGGCACACCAGGCATGCACCTTTTGAAAGTATTGCTCCTGGGACCTAGACAAGGCACATACCCTAAAATGCACCTCGCCTATGCACCAAGGCACACCTAAAGTACACCTTTAAAATCATTGGGTAGGTGCACGCCTTTTTAAAGCGAGGCAAATCTTTAAAAAATTACAAAAAAATGCATAAAGATGCAAAAAAATAAATAAAACGTATGTATTAAAAATAATATTAATCAAAAACACAAGTTTTACATTAAATGTTTCAAAAAGCCTATTAGCCCAAATTAAAATGAATAAGCATAACACATAAAGCATGTGCAAAGTGAAAATGTAAAAATAAAATTGAACATAACATATAAAACATATTCAAACACTACACAACTAAGCCTGTGAAACTTTCAAGCTTTGTATTTACTTCCTAATTGCATTACTCTAATTCTATGAGCTGCTTTTTACCAACCAAGCCCCTTGAGACTAGCCCAAATAAGTCCATACTAGGGTCCTAAACTCGTAATTCCTACTTAAGAAAATTGGTTTTATAATTTAAATTTAGTTCCTTATCTTTTAAAAATGCCTTGTATTAGGGTTTAGGAAGAATGCAATGAACGATATATTAGCAAAAAAAGGGCAGGTTCTCAGAGCACCAATGAACAGGCAAAACCCTAGCATGGGCTTATTTGAGCTTTGCCTCAAGGGGCTTGGTCAGGGGTCCAGGGGCAGAGCCCCCAGCCCAACCACCATGCTCAATGAAAGTACAAAAAGCACAAAAGAAAGGTGCACACCTGGGTTGAGGTGTAAAGCGCACGCCATGCACCAAACACTTGCTTAGGCACGCCTTTTCAATCACGAGAGAAGTGAGAAGTTGACAAGTTAAATTATGTATGTACGTGTGTAAGTGTGTGTGTGTGTCTTGAAAATATCTTTGTTATATAGGTACTACTAACTGAATAAAGTTTCATTGCCTTATCCTAACTATACTACATAAGCTACATGAATTCTGTTTCACCATTCCATTCTATCAGGAGTCATATCTGCAGTTAAATTGTGAGCCTTGAAATCATTTATTACCAGTTCAAATCATGAACTTGTGACCTGCCCCAAGCTCTTCTAAACCCCTTTAACTTGCATCAGATCCCCTCTTACTGGTGCAGTAGGTCCTATTCATGCACATGCCTAGACCATTTTTGTTTACTGCATTTTATCCTCTACTGGGGCTACTCACACATTCCCACAAATACATTCATTTTAATATCCCTTTTGGTTTTACCACTCATCCTCCCAATATCCACTTCTCTACAAGATGCAAATATGAAAGCAAGGAAAGAATATATGGAGAATTAAACCAGTTTTCGAATTCCTGTATCAATTTCATAATTTTTATTGGGAGCTTAAGATTGGAGATTGGACAACTAAAGTCTAATATCAGAATTGCTGGGTGATCAGGATATTGATATTTTATGAGTTTTTTAATTTATTTAGTTTGTCAGTGTCTTTGGAGTAGGGTTAGGTTTTAGTCTTCATGCACGCCAAAAATTTAGGTTGGGGGCAATGCCCTAAACCCCCACATGGACTTGTTTGGGCTTCTCCATTCAAAGGTCTAACTTACCACCTCCTTTAATAGGGAAGTTAAGTATCCCTTTTATGGTAGTTCTTAGGCAACAATCTTAAGAATCTTGGGACTGCTGGTATTGGAAGGATTTTCTATGGTACGAAAAGTGGCATTGCATGGGTCTTTAGAAGTACAACAACTAGGAAAGCCAATTGTACAAAGCTAAAGCAGTGGCTTCCCTCACTGGGGTAAGTATTGCCAGAAAGACTTGTCTCAACCCATTTATCACTGAGGACAATTCTGCAAATGCAACCAACTGGAGAGAAAATATGGGAAACAGACATGTAGAATGCCAAAACCCCCAAACTGATTTTTTGGTTAGGAGTGGGGAACACTGATCTCTGTCAGGGTTCTGTTTTTGGTGGACTATCTCTGAGATCAGGATATTGGTCAAGCTCTTGATTCCAGCATTGCGACTGTAGACTGCACTTGTTCCCATCTCTTTATGATAAAATTTTTTCATTATCGATTAGGAAAGGCTTTTTCTCTTACATTCAGACTACTAAACAAGTGGGATATGAAAGGGACCTGCGAGCGTCATATTATTAACAGAATGCTCCATCATTCTGCACTTTATGCATGTGGTTTCTAAAATTTGACAGAATTTGTTATCTCCTACAATAGATACTCGTTGTTCGGAAACTGGAACTTCTATAAAATTTAAATGTCCTTGAAGGATTTTAAGTTGTTTTTCTAGTTTCTGGTTCTTTGGAATTTGGAATTCTTATAGAACTCCATACTCTCTCCATCATCAAAAGTTCAAGTACGACTTGTTCATTAAATTTCGAAAGCATGATCAGAACTCGAAATTGTCAAATTCCTCTGTACGTAATTTTCGATTTCTTTAGTGAAGACTAAACGCAGAAAAGGGTTCTTACATGCAGAAAAAGGGAAGAATAGAACGACAGAAATGAAGAAAGAGAGATAGGGTTTCAGGAATCTGACCGGCGAAAGAGCTATGGACTTGGAGAGATGGACCCAGGAGGGTGGACGGTGCCGCCGAATCGGCTGCTGCCGCAGCAGCGGCGGCGTTGCTACTTCCGCTACCAAAAGGACGACCACGTTTCGCCGGCTGAGGAGCGGCGCCACCTGCCGCTCCGCCTACCTTTCCCTGCTCCCTCTTCTGCATTATCGTCCCCCTTCGAAACACCCCAACTCCCTCGCCTTCTCGACAAATTCAGCGCCCGCTCCGTAAGACGCGAGCTACAGTTTTAAGAAGACCCGGGTCGGAAGAAATAAAACTTCCAAGTTCCAACGGTGTTTAAGATATTGCCATTTAACACCCTGACTACGGTTCGGTATTTGAATCCAGTGTGGAACTGTGGATCATTCACGAGAGAGACTCTCTTTTCCATGGGAATAGCATATACACTAACTCTAACACCACACCCTCCTTTTATTGGCCTGTGAGTTATGGGTCATCATGGACCGGGCCCGAGCACAAAACTTAGGCCCAAGCATTTCTGAATCGGGCTTGTCCGGGCCGGGTTGAAATAATCACCCTTAGAGGTATATCAGAATCCAAGATATCTGAATTAAATTCAATATTTCACCAATATGTGAAGCATGGATTTAAGCTCAATAAATCTACATTTACCACAGACCTCGCATCACCGATCGCCCCTCTAATTGTTTGTATATTGGGTTTCTTACTATTTAAAAGACCAAATTATTCCTCAATTTTGATATACACATTTCTATTTTTATTAGAAATAAATGATTTTTATCATTAGGGTGCATCTCTTATGCTCTATTCACTTTTTGGTAAGTTATTTATCCTAGTAAATGCACTTATCTGAGTGACATTTGCTCAGATAAGTGCATTTACCCGTGTTCTTTTATTTTCCAAGTAAATAAAATGGTAACCATTTTAGTCATACAAATTCTATTATCAAAATGAGTATTTTTATCCTATCTAAGTGTTGGCAACTTTCCCATGATGGGAAAGTTAATTTACCCACCTAAGAGATGGGTATCACTTACCCGAAAAAATAAAATTTTCCTAATCCCCACATAAATCTAAAAAAAGAACATGGATTTCTTAGTTAATGTGATTACCAACTTTCTCCTCTCTCAAAATCCCAAAGAAAGCACCCTTAAAGTTAGAGGTTTTAAGAAATTGACTTAGGTTGTGTTTGGCATGTCTTTGGTCTGCAAGAATTTGTCTTGTCCATTTGGTATCACATAGACCGAAAGACTCAAAGACCAAAAAAGCCAAAACTCAAGAAGCTTTTGGTCTTTCTACTTCCTAGCTGTTTTTTGGGCAAATTTCTTAAACTACCATCATGGTTAAGCTAATTGACTAACTCTACCCTTACTATTTATATAGTCTTAAAGTACCCCCAAATTTCCTGACAACTAGTTAATTACTCCCCTATCATTAGGGTTTCGTCACAATCCACTTACATGTTGATGTAACCGTTTCCGGTCACGTATCATTTTATTTTTTGGCTAAGTACCTCGTCATCCCGTCTGCTTCCAGGTGGCCGATGATTCAGGGGCTAAAGCGGAGCTCCCTAGTGTAGTGCAACCCAACTGCTCCCTACGGGAGGTGATCTGGCTACTAGCAACGATGGGAACTGAACCGGCTACTTCCTACTGGAGATGATCTACTCATCTTCATAGACGGCGGGAACTGAGGGACCTACATGAACTGAACCAAAGGACCCGGGGATGTCTGGCGAGGTCACTCCGACGGCTAAGTCAGCACTTAATAGTGAGCTGAAAATGATATTTTGAGAATAGGAGAGCTGAGAGCAAAGATTATGCATCATTTTCCCTCTCTTTTTTGCATACCTTTGCCCCTGGGGGTGAGGTCTTTATATACTGGAGTCCTTGTGGGTTTGGTGGAGCAGTTCTTGAATTCCCGCTGTGATGGGACCTGTTTTCATATTAGGTGGGGATAATGCCACCAACTGGTGAGGTTGCCCATTCCCGCCTGAATCGGGGAGTGGGTGAGCTAATATAGCCGTTACAAGTCACAATCCCGTAAAATGCGGGGTACGGTGGTGAGCTCCTTGGAATTATCATGCGGTGGTCGAGCTGTTTGGGTGGCGAGCTGCCTGTGAGGAGCCAAGCTGCTTGGTGGCGAGCTGTCTGTAAGGTGTCAGGCTGCATGGTGGCAAGCTGCCTGTAAGTGCTGCATGGTGGCGAACTGCCTGCGAGTGCTGCATGGTGACGAGCTGCCTGTAGCGAACTACCTGGGAAGAGCCGCCTGATGTAGTTAGCACTTAGTTGTCATGAGGTATCAGGTGTCACAATGTCATTGGAGGGCCAAATCCGCCCTCATCACATGCCACACCACGTGACAGTGACAGTTATATTTTGAGAAAACAACAGTAATACTCTTTCCTGTTACCGGTATTGATTAATCGTTGAATCATTTTCTAGTGCCAGGGTGTTCTCAGCATCTAAACCTTTTCTAGGTACCGGTTCAAATGCAAATTCATTGAACCATTAATTCAATATGGTTCATGGTTCGCCATGGCGGACGAGCCATCACTACCAATCAACCACTACCACCTTGAAGCAAAAACTATATGAAAGTGTACATGGAGATCCAATCATGGCGTGAGAAGAGAAAATGATACTTTAATTTATAACCAAAAAAACCGCCATGACAACCGATGCGGTACTAATAGCATTGCCGCTGCTGATGGATGGAAATATTCACATAATGGATCAATTGTTTGGATTTGGGTCGTCAAAAACCTTTACTTTTTCCACTGGGAGATTGCTGATACATTGGCGAGAGGAGGAGATTGAACAGAGACGGGAGAGGAGGAGGAGGGAGACGGAAAAAGAGAGAAAGAAATCCTGGTTCGTCTAATACCTCTTGAGTGACACCGCTTTCTTCGACGTCTTGTCAGATGTTGACCCCGTCTTGTCAGATCCAATATGAATCCATTACAAGTGAAATATAATCCAATTTGAATTGATGCAAACAGTTCGGGTTAGATCCAATCTGTCATGACAAATAATTCAAAACACTCTAATCCCATGAATTTTGATTGTATAATATTGATCATACAATTTTAGTGCACTTTATAAATTTTCGACTAAAAGGTAAGATAAAAAAAGAGTCCAACTATGGTGCATTTTGAAATTTTAAAATAATGTTATATCAAAATTCCAATCAATCGCATTAAAGTCATTATATGGTTATTTATTTTTCATTGATTCACGTTTCATAAGGTGTATTTATCATTAAAATACTTTAACAATGCTAAAAAGATAATTAGGATATAAAAGCTTTGTTTTTGGACCTTTACAAAAGAGATGAATCTCTAATTATCTCTTGAAGATGTATTTTATACAACTTGAAGATTTGTATGAGTTGAAGTTGAGGATTGGATGATGTATTCCCATATTTTTAAAAATGATGAAGATTGTTCATAATCAACTGGGCTTAGAAAACTTGACCAAAAGAAGGATCCTACAAAATTTCAAGAGTGTTATAGGATTCCTTGAAAGGATGGTTGTACACGTCCTTTTTGTCCAAGAACTTTCTTACTCCACAATTTGTGACTCCCCTATTTATGGATTTTCTTGGTTTAATATTCTCCTCTCTTTGATTAGAGATTTGATTGATTCTTATTACTCTTTCTAGAGAGTAAAAGGCTGTAATTAGTATTGTTCATAGAGAGAATGATTTTTCATTCATTATTTTCTCTTCAATCATTGACTAATTTCCATCTATGAGAATTTATGCCTAGGTTGACTAAAGATTTTATTAGCTCTAATTAGTTCTTTTAGACAAGAAGTTTGGTAAACCACCTTTTATGGAGAATGATTTTCCATTAATTATTTTCTCTTCAATTAGTGATTATTTCCACCCAAGGGATGTGAGGTATACCTTAATTGACTAGAGATTTGATTACCTGTAATTATCTTCTATAAAGAAGAAAGTTAGCAAATTGCCCATTTTGGAGCGAGTAACATTCTATCAATTGTTCTCTCTTACATCCTTGATTAGATTTCCATCTATAGGGGGCTTTGGTAGGATTTATTTTCATAAATCAATAAGACTTTAAACTTAAATTTAAATTTGAATTTGACTCTAGGCCCCATTTGCTTTTCGGTAAGTTACTTACCCGGGTAAATACACTTACCTAGGTAAGTGTTTCCCAGAAAAGACTGACTTGGGTAAGTGCATTTACCTATGTTCTTTTATTTCCAATGTAAATAAGGCAATGACCATTTTAACTACAAAAATCCATTATTAAAGGGGCACTTTTGTCCCATTCAAGTGTTGGCAACTTTTCCCTCAAGTGGTAATTATCTACCCACCTAGGAGTTGGGTAGGTAAGTGATACCTAGAAAAATAAACTTTCCTTGGTCCCCACATAAATCTGATAAAAGAACATATGATTCTTGGTCAATGGGAATCAAAATCTCATTGACCAACTTTTCCCCCTTTCAAAATCAGAAAAAGAAAACACCCCCTTAAGGTAAGTTCCACATGGACCCACCTCTTATGCTAATAGATTCGTAAAAATAAGGCCACATAGAAAGGACCTATAGTAAGGTCCATATACAAACTTAAATTTTAAATAAATTGTATTAATATTGTATACATACATCTATACAATTATGTATTTACATATATAATACATAATTATATCTTATGTTATAATTAATAAATTCATTTTCTTATATCTATATAATTTTATTATATATGCATAGATAAGAAGTTATGATTTTTTTATCTCAACAATATAATGATATATATCTAAAATCTGCTACAATATGCAATAATCTTAAACGTGGGATGTTAGTATTAGGGGTGGATTCTAGCCGAGCCGAGCCGAATAGTACGAGGCATGAGCTCGGCTCGAGACTGTTTTACAAGGCTTGAGCTCAGCTCAGCTCAAGCTCGACTTTGAGAAAATAATATTTTATAAAAATAAAAAATAATTTTTTTATTTCATATTTTAAAAAATAATAATTATAATATTTCTATTATATATATTATTTTCTATAATTTTATTAATTCGAGTCAACTCGCGAGCCGAGCTCTAGTAGGCTCGAGCTCGGCTCGTTTCATAATCGAGCCAATGAATTGGGCTGAGCTCAAGCTCGAGCTTAGTTGAAACCAAGCCGAACCGAGCTTTTCACGAGCAGAGCTATAGCAGTTCATGAAAAGCTCGGCTCGTTGCCACCCCTAGTTAATATGCAAGAGGAATACCTTACATCCTTGAACATACATACACACATATATACATATTAAAAAACTCACAATTTGGTTTGTCCATTACTCAATAGTAATAGACATAGAAGCTCCGAAAAACTCCCCTAGGGTAGGTGTTTAAACTCTAGATTTATACA